AAAAGAAATTCATAATGCTGACATACAATGCATCCTAAACTGCCAGGAAAAGAGAGATAAAAGAGATCAAAGTAGATCATTTTTTGAACAGAGAGAATCAACCAACTGTATAACCGACAAAACGTTGCATGAATAAAATTAAAAAGTAGGGAAAAAAAGCGTCACTTTTTGTTGCTCAACCTGTAAAATGGGTGAACTTGAAAGATTCACAACTATTAGTGAGAATAAATAACGTTTTTTGTATCTTCCAACACTTTATGTTCAAAATATCGCTTTGAAACCGTAAACCCAAACAAGGTTATACAAGAGACGTCAAACTAAATAGTTTGAATAAGCGGGTAATGCTTTGCAATGCTTTAAAGTAGCCATTGTCCTTGCAATCAAGTTCTCAAAATCTTTTGTTGATGTAGAGTCTGCCAGTATTTAGAAATCGCAACGAAAGAAATCTTAATCTGCCCTACCACCGATCATCAACAAGAAATTGTTTCGCTTTCCGAGAAGAAGGAAAGACTGGAAACAAATAACTCTCTCTATAATTTCCACCTTGGCATCTGAAGAACTAAAACTGAATATTCGAATCTTAAACTAGGAAATGTAAATTGCTAGATCAACGTACTCACCAAGAAATCTGTCTCACCAGATTGAGAAGGAGAAGTACCAAAAGGAAAGTGAAAATTGAAAACTCTGGGACTGTCCCTGCAGTAAGAAATAAAGCCTCATATGTTAATGATTCCCCAAAAGAAACACCCTAGCCCCTGGTATAACATACACGATGTGTTGCGAGGCAGCATGTCCTACGGATGAATCGTTTGGAACTTTCATACCAGGAGCACCCAACGACTCTTTTCTATAAAATTTGTTGGAAGGAGCAAATATTGCCTAGAAATCTCTCAAACTTGGGAAAGGCTAGCCTGTTCCTATATCCTGTATTTTCTCTTTTAAAGTGCTACTGTGATCAAATCAAGCATTATTTGTGTTTTACGATTTTTAGAATGTTTGATAGCTAATAAATACACATACCAAATTTGAGATCCTAATTCTCACTGGAAGTCCGATTTTCTAAGCCGTGTTTTTCTTCAGTGGCGGTCCGCCATTACCGAAACTAAATATGTCCGAGCAAAAGGGGAGGGATTGGATCGAGGTCGACGGGGTTGCCTGTGACGTCATCTTATCCCCAGAAGCTGAAAGAAAAGTTCTTCTTGGTAACTCTTCTTGGTCAGTTTCATCGTGCAAAGATACCCTTGTTGCTACGTTGTCCAGGACTGCAGCAACAGTCTCCAATCCGAAAAAGGGAATTTCTTTGCACAGGCAAAAGAGCGCTGTGGAACGCATTTTTCGAACGTGCAGCGAGAACTTCAACCTCAAGGAGTTCTGTATTAATTTCACGTTCGATTGCTTCGAGAGGCAAGTTCACGTAAAAGATGCTGCAAGAACGTAGAAGAGGAATTCCCGGAGCCAATCCAACTATATGTAAAAATAACGTACCTGGCAAGTCCAGTGTCATGTTCGCGAGAAGCCGGCTTATGGTGAGTTAACACTCATATAGCCCTTTGACTCTTGCTTTGTGGGATCGTGTCATAATTTTCAGTTTGGAGCCGGGATAGAAAAGGCAAGATACAAATCATTAGTACGGTTTTTTTCGAAAACACAAACTTCAGTTATATACACACTGACGGAGAAATAAACAGAGATGACAAGAAACGATCGCCCAATCTAGTATTTTGTTGTGTTTCGCGTAACTTCGCGGCGGTAAAAAATGTCGACCGAAAATTAGAAAAGGGGCTAATTTTTTAGTAGTCTGTTTTGGTCGTATTCGCTGCAGTCGCTGAACTCGTAAAAATCATTTATGGATACTGAACTGTGAAATCTTAGTTGACAATGAAATCATTGATTCAGTCTTCATTTTTCTGTAGGTGCAGTTCAGTGATCACTTTCCAGTATGTGAAGTTCAGTAAGACGCTCAATGACCACACAGTAGTTCAATAACCATAGCAATAGTTAAAAAAACCGCATATTAAAGTTGTTTAATCTCTGTATTTAACATTATTTAGACATTGTTCCTATTTTACAGTAAGTGATCGTAAGTATCACTGTTCAAAATTATCTTGCCTTGAGGCCTGCTAGTTCAGTTTTCATTTTCCTGTAGGTGCAGTTCAGTCAACACAGAATAATTATATAGTTCAATAACCATACAGCTAGTAGTACAATAACCATGGCAGTAGTTCACAAATGGCATAGTTTCCTTTCATTGTTGGTAATTATTTGAGGGGGTTAGTTTGTTCAAGCCACTCCCATCTTTGTATTTTATTTAGACATTGTCCCTCCATCATAGTCAGCCACATCAAGAGCCATTGTTCAAAATTTTCTTGCCATGGGGCCTGCCGCTAGTTTGGTATTTTTCCTCTTGCAGTGCTAGTATCTGGTCATAGCTTTACAGTGGAAATGCTTCCACTTGGTTATGTTTATGAGTAGTGTCGTTGCTCTAGATCCTGTTATTATTTTGGTTTGTTCCAAAAATTAGGCTGGTGGGTGGGGCCTTCAGCCTTGGATTTTGTGATTATTAATTTGTATTTTGTGATTTATTTTGATAGAGTGCTCCAACTCCCTTTTCATCTTTCGAGTGTTATTTTTTGATGTTATAATTATTTAATGATAAAGGGTAAAGGGTACTCTTTGATTTATTTTGATTACTGACTAATGTCACTTCAAATACTTTCTTATTTGGAAATCCCTCGAAGATGGTGAGAAAAAGGCTTGTAGTACATGATGCAAGAAGTGCTGCATTGATAAGGGATGTTTCTTTTGATGATCTTCTAATAAAGAGTATTACTGCTGATTGCTACATAAAGAAAGCCAATTAAAGAAGTAGAGGGTGAAGGAGTTGGAAAGAACAATATGGAGTGACATATAAAAAGACTACATACAATAGGAAAAATCTTTGGAGAATTATTCATCCTTTTCCATTGTCTATATAAATACATTTTCTCAAAAGAGTTATTCCCTTTTTCATTGACTGTATAATTATGCACAATTTTTAAAACAATCTGTAACTGTTTTGTACTCTTTTCTGTTTGGTATTCATGTGATTTTTATTACATTTTCTTTTTCGGCTTTTTCCTTTTTTCACGGAACCAATGTATATATACAATTTCTTAAAAGAAGAGGGGACTGTTTTTTTACTTTTATCTGTCTGGTTTACATATTATTCATTTGCCTGTGCCAAGCACAGCCATAAGTAGAAACTGTGCATCCAACCACCTTGCCTCAATGACCGCAGTTTATATTTGTTTTGTCTTTCTTTGGAGAGCCTTTTGTTCTTCCTCCAGCTCCTGCTCTTCCTTTTAAATCTTGCATCACCTCTTCTCCATGTAACAAACTTTAAAGTGTAGTTCTTTGATTGATAACCTTGTAAACGTATGCTCATGTGTGCAGCCTGTCAGGAAAAACCTTATGTTATCTGAGGAGGAAACCTGAACCCTCCCAAAAGCAGAGCCACACACTTAACATGAACCTCGAGGGAGAGAGGTTGAAGTAAAATAACAAACTATTATTAAAACTGTGAAAGGTTTGAACCCAGAAGTCATTTCATAAGAAGGTTGTATCACGTCAGTTATAATGGTATTTTTAAATTAAAACTGGTTATTGACCTGATTGGTGAATTAAGCTGTGATGTTATTGGTTCTGCAAAGAGAGAAAAGCAAATAACAAATAAACAGGTCTTTTCACGGCTTTCAACTTTTGACATGGGCAAGTTAAGGAAAATCTGTTAGAAAGAGTGCCTTTCAGTCAGTACAATTGCCAAGTTTGAAAGTGATCTGTTGGAAACTATACAACAAGTATTCCTCAAAATTGCAAAATTTTACAGACATTAATTGTATGGTGGGGGGCACAAACTTGCCCCCACCATACAAACGTCTGAGTGTAAAATTTTGCAACTTTGCAGAGCTCTATCTTCCCTCATTTAGGACCTAACACTTTTAAACTAGGCAGGTTAACTGTTAGACTTGCTACAAGTCGACCTCTCATAAGTTCTTAGTCAGCGAAGCAAGCTTCAACAAGGTCACACAGTGGCCAACCAGGAAAAAAAATGTAAAGGACTTTTAGAAAGTCTAGTTAACTGTATTGTAATGTGTTCATTCCAGTGGTGTTGACAGATTTTCCCTAAATTGTCCATGTCAAAAGCTGAAAAAAACAATGTGGCTCACTGTAGAACCAATAACATTGCTACTTAATTGACCAATCAGGTCAATGATTGTCTATGATTCATCATCTTCAAAGCCATGATGTTGCCCAATTTCACTTGGAAAGTTGTCCTTATCGCTTTGTAAGCACAACATGGGTATGGATAAGGCTTGGAACTTCCAACAAAATCCCAAACAAGTCGAGTAAATTGTCTGTAGAACACTGATCGGAGAAACCTATAAAGAAATAAAAAATATGTACTCAGTCAATCCCCAGTTTGGTCTTTTCTACTTGTTTGTATGCTGGACTGTTTGATTTTGTTTTTTAATGGAGCTTGTTCTTTCTCATCATGCAGTAAGGTAAATGGTGTACACTCCTTGTTTTATTTTCTTTATTTTATATAGGAGTTTTGGGCCAATTATAGTAATTTTTTTCAGGGTTCTAGAAAAATAATAAGAAAAAAAATAAGTCTCTACTGCTAGGAGTTTATATTTTCTTCATCAACAAGGGTTTGAGTATAATTCAACCTTATTTACCAAATAAATAGATATTTTAGGTTCACCTACAAGACACCCAGGTGAACAACATATGACTTCAACAACTACAGCAAGAGGACGAATAACAACAAAATAAACAACAAGGAGTGGATAAATTACTCTGATTCCGTTTTAAGACCTTGAGTGAACAAATTTCGGTAACTTTTTCCAGTTTTCGTCTTCAGATTAAGCGATGCAACTTGAAGAAGCCACCGGTTCAGGCAAACATCCTGAAAACCGGGATGATTGATGAAGAGTATTAAATGCAGTCACCTTCCCGTTCTACTTTACCCATACTTCCCTTACACGGTCCATTTCTTTGCAGCAAATACACTCCTCCGTTTTGGTGGTGATGGGACCTGATGGCGACGGACCAGTTCGTACAAGTGCAATTAACAAACAAAAAAGACATGTGCTCCGTTCAGTATTGTTTTTATTTCACAAAGTTAGAGAATTTAGATACTTGTACTGGGTTCCCTTCTGCTGTGAGCAAATTACATCAAAACAGAAACGCAGTACGATGAAAAAAAAGAAAAAAAACGACAAAAAAACTCAATCGGAGTAATGCCTACCATGCGCCTATTTCACCAGTAAAATGTCTTTGGAGCTCGAGATTACGATCTTCTTCAAGAATCACGCTTTCCTCGAATGCGGCGGCCGCTTCTACGGTCGCGTTTGGCTCCAAATCCTCATCGTACGGGATAAAAGGAGTTCCATTGCCGTCCAAAATATCTTTCTGTTCGACTGTTTTAAATCAGATCTGTCTTTCGAAGAAATGGACGAAGAACACGGAACAGACGACACCGCAATAACACGCTAGAAGTAGTTGTAGCGAGATGGTGGTGAGTTTTGGGGATAAGATGACGTCACAGGCGACCTCGATCCAATCCCTCCCCTTTGACTCGGACATTTGTTGTTTATGTAATGGCGGACCCATTTTTCCCACTTTCAGACATCTTTCTTGTGGGAACCGCTTCATCAGATTGGTCTGAATTACACTTTTTCGTGAAGTTTTACGTCCAAACATTAAGTTCGAGCCCAAAAATTTCGTTTAGGAAGACTGCGATTTTCGTCGCAGTAGCACTTTAAGATCGTCGAGCGCGCGTATCAAAATAGAAATCGCGGGGATTTATTGACCGCAAGCGAATATTGGGAATTTTTCTTGGTATTAAGGGGAACTCAAACTATTCACTTTCCTCCGAGGAAGTTTGTGGCGCCTGACTTGCTATGAAGTTCTCAACGGCTGTTTCGCTGGGCAAGGTTAACGAACCCAGCAGTCGAATGTAGCGGTGCCAAACTTAATTCCATCAATATTAACCCTGCAAAACGAACCGTGACATTTGGAACTGTTTTGCGTTCCAAGAAAGTGAAAAGGACTAACATGCTCGAATACAAACATTAGAAAAAAAAACGGAAATGATTTATGTTTCTAACATATATGTATGCTACACAACAGTGAAGTACAATAAAGCTTTAGGACTGTGCGCATTTTACGATCAGAAATCAAAGCCTCGTACGATAACGATACCAAGAAAGGAATACGCAGTTCAATTAACATATTACCATGCATGAAATAGATGTAGGGTTTTTTTCTGTCTATATCAATTGGGAATATTTATAAGCTATTCTATTTAAGGGAATCCATTTCGTAAAGGCGAAACTATTTGATTGTATGAGCTCTTCAAAGAGTTGCTTCGAACTTTTGAAATCACACGACAAACGATCCCTACATACCAATCGAGGTCGAGCTTTGCGAGTCTTTTATACACACTCGCAATTCAGGAAACTTAGTGCGAAAATTAAAATCTCAAGTAAGATATATGAAATAGAAAAAGGTAAGCTAAGATGAGGGTTTTTTTTCATAAACCAAGCTACTTACCTCGAAGTCAGCCGCTCTTTCGTGCCTTCAGTTAGATGTGAAAAAATCTGGGACTTTCCCTGCATTCCAAGAAACAAAAGCTATAACAAATTCAGAACTGGATGCCTAATAGTCAGAACCGATTTCCAAAATGCATGTCTAATATAAATACCTTAATGTGTACATTTTTGGTGTCGAGATAAGGAACCGATAACGAATAGTCCAAAACGAGTCCTGAACGGTACCAATTAAGATATTTTAAAAAACTGCATGATGCACTGACAGATATTAATAAGAAAATGTCAACATGGAGCTTAGCAGTATTATTATTTTACACGGCTAGTTAATTTTATAAAATGATGATGTGAAGTTTGTATCCACTTCACTGAAAACCAAATTAGCCAGTTTAAATAAGGCAAATTTACATTATTTGTCTCAAACTAGTCAAATCAATCTTAGCAAAATCTTTCTTTGGGAAAGAGTCATTTCGCCAATATTACTGGGCGCAAAACGAACGAAAATTTAAACTGTTTTGCCTTTTAGAAAGTAAAAAGAACTAACATCCTCGCATACAAACATTTTATTTAAAAAAACTGAAATGAAGTTTGCTTGTGACATATTATGCAAATCTGTCCGGGACTTTCCCTAAAATTGCGAGAAACAAAACGGCTTTGTCCATAACGATGTCACTGTAGCTGGGCGTTATTCACAAAATCTCATCGGAGCCGAATTCGCTTGGACTACCGACACTTAGCTATGATCGCATCAACTAGTTCTACCCAAACGGGGATCATACAACCAAAATGAAATTCTCTTTGGTGTTCAAATGGTCAACTCCTGAATCAAAACCTGTCGTACCTCTAGACTGGTTTCCTGTGAAGCGTAAAACAAGAGTTCTATCGTTCTCGC